GTTATATCTCTTTGAGGGGCGCGGCTTTTGAATGGTTAGCAGCATGCAACGGGAATGTTCCTACTGTTGCGTTTTCTACCCAGTTGCAATCTGAATGTTTCCCCGTTCGTGAAATATTTCGGATCGGCTAGGGGTAAATGGCAAGCGGGTTTTTATGCTTCACACGAGGATTACTTATTTCGAACGCAATTTCATCAGGATTGAAATCGTCTTGAAACCGCCCTATCTTTTCTCTTTCCAATAAGCTTTACAGTTTTCCTGAAGACCCGCTAGTTCAGGAGATATTTTAGATGGGTCACAGACGCGCTACCCTCTGACCCACCCGAAAAATCGACTCCTTGTGTGCCATTGTAAGATACACCTTCGGAAGCTTCAGTGTGCCTTTCCCTTCGAATGAGTGGAAGAGGAGCTCGGCTATCACTGATCGATTTGGTCCGAGTGTGCGCCGTGCATTACGCTCCTACGCAGAGGTGGTGGAAAGGTGTAAATTCTGATTTCAGGTGCTTTTATCCATGCAAGCAGATGTTTGTTTAGGGTTTGGAAAGGACAACACGCACGAATCTGTTTGAGACGTATTATTTAGAATACATATCTACCCAACGTATGAGATTCACTAAGATAGGCTATTAAGTAATAATTTTACTTTACAATTAATCTTAATATATTTATTTAATTAGTCAATTAATAATTATTATTATTATTTATTTTATTTATTCATCTTGCTATTCTTGCTAATACCTTGTTAATGAAGGGTTTTTTAGGTTATTTGGATGTAATGCATATTTCATCGTGTCTCTGCAGCTTTCCGTCCGTTCCTATCAACGTAAGCAATGACTTATCTTTCTGTACTTGTTTTTAAATGCCTTATTAGCGAGCCAAATTTTGCGATACTCCAATCCCCACCGTCCTCCCGGCGGCCAAGTACGACGCAAATTTTAGGGGAATTTCGCAATTGAAAAAGAGGCTGTTAAAAGGTAGCAGTTAAATCGTAAAGAACACTCTTCGATAATAAATTTTCGATTTTTTTTTTAAGCATCACCTATGCGCTGCCCATAGCCTCCACTCCACTATCAACTGAAATGTCGAAGCATTGCCCGGCTCTGAGTGACCCTTGAGATTACGACCCCCCCTCCCCAGCGGCCAAGTACGACCCCCCCCCTATGGGTTTCGCACAACGATGCTATACCCTGTGAACGCCGCAGCTCGCGTTCGAGAAGTTATAAGAATGCTGAGCAACGGGCGCAAGATTTGACCCCTCGCGGTACTCGCAAACTGCGGTTATAAGACCTCCGAAGAGCTGTGAAAGCTTGTTAAGACTTTAGCCTCGCAGCTCAGCAGCAACGCCTAGCGATACGAAAGGCCGGTTCACCATGCCAACGTGTGGGCGCTGTAAGGCTGCGTTCATACTTTGCGGCAGCGTCTACCAGCGACCAATAGCGTCCACCAGCGTTTCGAGCGTCCGGCAGCGTCAGCGACTAGGAAAGCATAGATATCGAACTAGCGTCTGCCAGCGTCTACCAGCGATCAGCAGCAGACTACTGGTAGATAGTATGGTACGACAGGAGGGTAACAACTGTCTGCTACACTCCTATCTCCCCCTACTCTACCAGCTGTCTGCTACCCCTCTATCTCCCCATACTGCCCAATCCCATACGCTTCTGGTCGTTGGAGACACTGGCACATGCTCGCATACGCTAGGCCGATACCTCTACTTCTCTAGTCCTCGATACGCTGCTGGTAGCTGGTAGACGCTGGCAGACGAAGTCGTTATCTACGCTGTCCTAGTTGCTGACGTTGACGGACGCTCGAAACGCTGGTGGACGCTGTTGGTCGCTGGTGAACGCTGCCGCAAAGTATGAACGCAGCCCAAGGCAACGGCATAAAAGCCGTCGATCTGAGATTTTGAGAGGGGCGTTTGTGGGGGAGGGGGCGAGGAGTCTGTGCTGAAAGTAGGTCACCGAGCGCGGCGATTACAATGTTTGAACATGTCCTTGGCAGATGGAATATGAGGAAAATAAATAACGTTCCTAAAAAAGTGGGATAGCATCATATTGATCGGAGGCTGGGAAAATGCCAAGTCAGGACTCACCGTTGCGCCAAGCGATCAAGTCGCCGCGTGCGGTGAGCAGTTTCGAGCGCGGCGGTGAGTTCCTGTCCCACAACCAACATTTCATTTTTGTCGTCTTCTGCAGCTCATTCTTAGCATATTCCCAGTGATGTTTGTTACTTTTTATACTAATTCAACCTATATGGTAAATACACTTATTGTGTCAGTGCATTTTCTGCTCGCTGTAAAAGCTGCATACATTTACATTACAGCTTAACGGCTACGTGGTATTGAACGTGGCAGGTCTACAGGTTCATCTACGTTGCTAGCTCTTCCATTTTTACTTGGGTTGTTCAATGAGCACTTAGTGAGTGTTGCGGCGATGATCCTCACGCAAAGACGGGTCAAGATGGTTGCCAGGTTGTTACGAAGACTGTTCAAGACGGCTGTTCGCTTTGCTAGAGCTTACCTCTCGGTTTTCTTCTGGTCCTCTTTTTCTGTAGTTCGACATTTTGGGTCTACCTCACATTCTCATTTTCTATCTGTTACTTTACTAGTTGTTATGGTTGACCTGGAAGCAAAGAAACGCGAAACCAACCAATTGCAAATCACGCGCCGGTTGTCTCCATCCATTCCCGTTTCGAGATACGGTAGCCGCTCATTTTCCGTTTCCGAATTCTATATGATGACTGGGGACTCTTTCCTCCACCTTTTTCGTCACTTCTTCTGATTAAGTTCCCATTATATATGCACATTGAAATCTTTCTATAGGAACTTCCTCTCATCGTCATTTTTCATAATAAACACTTATTTCTGCATTTTTACCTCCATCAGAAAATGCCCTCCTACCGTTCGGCTACTACACTGCACGAAATGGGCCTCGCCCTATCATCGACTAGTTTTTGTAGAGCTTGTAGTCCTTGTCATCGTTTCCTCATATCTCAAGCCAATTTTTTTCTATGACTCAAAAGGAACCGAAAAAAGCCAAACGTCCACTGTACACTCATGAAATCTTTGTAGTTCAAACATATCAGGGGGCAGGGTGAGAGAAGGCAGCTGCTCGTGACATGTTTAAACTACAAGGAGTCTAAGGCTCAGCATGGGGAAAGGATTGCTATTTCGTTGAAAGGGCCGAGAAGCGCAGACCGGCTTCCTACGTGCCACAGCACCATCCCGGTCAGTGCAATAGGGGATTGTGTTGTGCTAGCATGGTACCATTAAACCGAAGTGACCAGGACGGTAAAGAGTACAGGAGGCGGTACCCATCATGTGAGGTCCAGGATTGTATTGTTCTGTCGGAACATGGTAACGCTACACACATTTGGGAGAGGTAGGACGGTCGAGTTCCATAATAGTGTCGTCTGCCGCGCGCGGCTATTGATTGGTGCCTTACCGCGCTTTGTTTGGATGCCTAAAGTGTGCTTGACTCCGATGAGTGAATCCGTTCAGTGGTGTGTCTACCAATACTCAATTGAATTCTTTCGACACGTATCCGTTAAAACAAGTGATTGATTTACAGCACTAGCAAGCACTTTTCAGGTCCGTTAGAAACTTGCAATGGACACGAGCCTGCCGGAGAAGCCCCAAAGGGATTTTTCGGAGAAATGTATCTGCAGGGTTAATCGCCCTTCCCCGCCCAACACATTAGAGGTCATGAAGCGGGCTCAGAGCAAAATACTGTACCAACAGTTTATGCAGTCTTTGAACCACCACTTTGGAGAGCTTAGGAAAATGAATAGTGATGTGAGTTTCGTTGGCCGTGTCTTGAAAACTAGCATCAACCAAAGTATCTTCTCAATTAGTTATATACGCTTTTAAGCTGCATGTAGTGGACAAGCTACTTTACGATTATGAGGGAAAAAGCTTGTCGCGTAACTATGAGAACTGGCCGGATGAAGAAGCAGTCCGGGCGGAAGCTAAGGTGATGCCTTTTTTGTGATTTCTTCCAGTAACTTTTTTTCGTTTCGATTTTTTTCGTACTACATGAAAAGGCATTTCAGCACCTGCGCTGAGACTGGGCCATGCTTCCGCTCAATACCATCTCTACATTTACCTCCGAGGAAGGTTCTTTTCATGTACAGATATATGGTCCACACTTCAATAGTGCCTTCGAACACCTTGAGAGGGCTTAACGGTGGAGGCACCTGGGCGATGGAGATACCTGGTCAGAAAAGGGGGGGGGGGTGGTGAATGCAGGATCGGTGAGCATCGAACATCGCAAAAGCGTCACTGCTACGTTTTGTGGAGTGGAACTTAATCCGTAGAGAGCACATTGTCTTGGGGTCGCAACGTCACAGCGCCCGCGAGGGGTTGATACGCATCTGATCCTTTCCGTTGAAGGTGAAGTAGGTTGTACAAGGACCCGCTCTCGGGGAAGGGGAGGGGGAGGAGGTTTATTACACACATCGTGAGGCTGTACCCTCTGCGCCGATACCATGTCGCGTGCCATGTTTGCTGGACTGCATTTATACTTGGGTATGTGACAAGAGAATCGTAATTCACCGCGCTGGTAGGTGCGTGCGACGTCGCGCCCGCAAATGACGATGGTTCCAGGTAGTAGATGGCGACAACAGGCAATTCAGAACCGAAAATAGTCATGAATGTCTACGATGACGGGGTCTACATGAAGTCCGGTGCTCCAATCGACAGGTTAACACGAGTTAAGAAACGCCGAGCCCATCGCCGCGAGCGGCCCCATCTCCCTTTACACTTTGCGGCAGCGCCCGCCGTCTCGAGACCCTCCTATCGCGCTATACTCACCTTTTCCGGACGCTGGGAGACGCTGGTGCACGCTGGCACACGTTGGTAGACGCTAGATCGATACCCATACTTCCCAGATCCTCGAGGCGTTGGTAGACGCTGGCGAACGCTGGGTGAAGCCGGATCGATATTTATATTTTCGCAGTCGCTGACGCTTGGATGCTTGAAACGCTGGTGAACGCTGCGACAAAGTACGAACTCAGTTTTGTTGGGATGCTTTCAAGGCATTTTTCGCTTCCCAATATACAATTTAAATAATACAATTTTTTGCAGATAGTAGTCAAGGCAATGGAACAGTTTGAAAAGCAGCTCAAGGAGTACAAGGAGGCTTTCGATCGGGAAATGACCATCGTTGGGAAGCCCAGAAGAAGCTATTATGGGCGTGTGAACTGGGGGGAGATCATAGGTAAGAATTCGACGTTTCACTTCCAGTTCGAGAACAGACTTTGTTATAAAATAGTACAGTGTACCTAAAGCTTCCCATCAGTGCAGAAATGGATCGCTGACGCGATAGTTTTTCATTGAATTGCTCTCGAAAGATCGTTTCGCGGCGATTCGCATTTTGTACTGATCGGTCGGGTGCTAATCTGCAGTATCAGAAAATGCTCATGCGTGAGTGGATTAATTGAGTTGGAGCAGTCCATCATCGCATAGCAGCTAACCAATGTGGTTACTTTCGAGACTTATGTACAGTCCATAAAACAGTTCAACAACCGTCTTTCGGCGACGGCTGCGTGTTCCCATGGCTGCTTTCCTTTCTGAGGCGGCATACATACTTTGCGGTAGCGTCCACCAGCGTTTCCAGCGTCCGTCCGCGACAGCGACTATGAAAGTGTAGTTATCGATCCAGCGAACGCCAATGTCCAGCAGCGCCTAACAAGGGGAAGTAGGAGGAGGCAGACAGCTGGATTAGGCGTCGTGAAATGCAGCGTCTGCAACCGCACCGTACTACCAAGCATTGCCGTATATTAAATTGCATGACTCTGTGCTTTGGCAGATGTGCACTGCGGTTGCACACGCCGCATTTTGACGACGCCTAATCCAACGGTCAGCTGCCTCCTACTTTGCGCACTCTCCGCTCCTGAATGCTGGTGGACGGCGGCGTTCGAGATCAATCTCAATACTTTAGTAGCCGTTGGCGGTGGCTGGTGTACGCCGGATCGATATCTACACATTCCCAGTCGCTGACGCTGACGGACGCTCGAGACGTTGGTGGACGCTGCTGCAAAATATGATGGCAGCTTTGCACATACATCTCCGCCCCTGCTGCGTCTGGACCTTCGCAGCCACGACCGCGCTGCAGCTGTGCCCACTTTCACCTGGTATATGAGCTGTACTACCTATAAAGCTCTTTTCGCTTTTTCGGATATTAGGCGGATTTTCTTCTAACAGACTAACCTACTCGTCCTCAACCCTTGTTAGGGCACCGAGCATATTTTTTTTTCTTTTGCGGCACTTATATTGCTTATTTGTGGATCGACACAAATAGACACAGTGAACTCTAATACTCACATACTCACATCTGGTTGCATATGTCTGGATAAACTTGCTACCTCGTTTCAGATGAGACCCGAAAGGCTAGATCTGCCCCATCGTCTCCAGAGCCCGAAAAAAAGAAGAGGCGTCAGTGTGAGTGATCTAGGGATGAATCCCATCCTTTTCCACTTTTACCCAAAATGTTATTTTCTTACTTTGTTGTTTGTTATGAATAAATGTTGTCATGTTATCTTGAGCCTACATCTCATCTAGGCTTCACAGTTTAGATGTTAAAATTCCCTACGGTATAGGGAGCAAGAGCTGGTGTAATTATGTGGAGCTGGTGCTATGATGAGCACTGTGGCTATTGCGGAAAGAACATTACTCAACACATTGCGGATCGGCGTACTACGAATATTAACTCATCATTTCACCATTTCTACAGCGATTTCATTTGTCTTATCAGTTTCGTGTAAAATATGTCTTCCTTCTTGAAAAGTGTTTTCCTCAACCCAAAATGAAAAATAACAATATTCATTATTATCATCACCATTATCTTCTGTGATTGCACGATGGTTCCCTTTCTTGGTGAAGAACTACATCGTATAACGCGTTCTCGTTGTCCCACATACGTGATGGCTCTTTCAGGTCGGATAGCTCGTCCGGATTGCGGAACTACTGGAATTTCATTGATCACGGCCTGAACTAGATTTAGGCGTGCGCCTCCGTATAGCTGTTGCTCAGTCAGGGCACCTAGTTATAGTCTGTTGGGAGAATGTTGTAGTTTGACGAATCCACCAGTCCTGACGGCGTCACGTGTCGTGAAATCATGTACATTTGAGACACGTTGTGATCCCGCTTTCCCGCATACAGTCATGATCCCTGCAAACGATAGGACTTATCGCAAACCACGAATCAGAGGAACAGGTTTTCCCACCAATCGCAACGGGCTCAGGATGGCATTATTGGTGGGAAACGCAACCATGGCTGCGCTCCAATCCACGTCCCTTCACACGCCCTATCGAACGATCACGGCCGTACACCCTTTCACACAAGCGACTAAGTGCGAAGCGATTGCGAAGCGGCCATTCCATCGACGTGCCCCATAATCGCGCTGCTCCTTCTTGTCTTTACCTTCTATGATGCTTGATAAATACCAACAACAAACATTTATCAATAAACACACTCACTGGCTATAAAGGAAAAACATTCAAAACGATAAAAAATCATGAAAAAGATAATTTTACAGCATAATAACAAGGCATATCCAAATGACAGATCCAAGCATTCACAAGAAGACCACTTTTTAGTGGAAGACCTTGAAAAACAACTTTCCTGTAGTGTTCAGATATGTATCATCTGTGGAAAACCTACTGACCCTATTTGATGAAATGTAAATGATATGAAAGTGACGATTCTTTGACCCATGGAACATGCAGGTTCTGCAATAGCTCCCCAAGGCTCCCTGTATACGGACGTGAAGCTTAAGGCAACTCAATTACGCGATCAGGGTAGTTCTGCCCGCAGTATCCCAGACTGTCCTATTTTTGTGGCTACAAATGATGGCCGAGGGTGCTACCTCCGTCATAACACGAATGGCGCCAACAACAGTCAGACTTCGCGACGACGCGCTCTATTATACTGTAACGTGCGTCTACGCGTACAGATGCAACAGTGCTCCAAAGCTATGGACGCGAACACAGCTGGCAGACGACCGGTGCCGATCCAGTCTGCGTGACTAGGCGAAAGCTATCGTCTTATTCCTCTCTTCATAAGCAGGCTGCCTGCACCGATCGATCGAGTGTTCGCAGACAGAAATCGACCGCTGCTGGTCTTCTGTGGGTGCGTTCGCGTCTACAACTATGGAGCGCTGTTGCAATTGTAGCGCGTCGCGAAGTCTGAACGCTGCCTTATGGATTGCTAGCTTCACAAATTTCTGCTAGCCTGACACTCCAGCTCAGGCTGCAAGGCATGGGCCTTGCACCGTGCTAGAAACTTGAAATAGGGTAAACGACGCGGGTCAGAGTGTCCCACTGAATTAGCGCACGAGTGTCGCTATTTATTTCCCAATACTACCGGAAAAGCTCTATTAAAATTCAAAATTCACAGGATTAGCAACTTTCATAAATTTCACGAGCTTGAAGGTTTTACAAAACTCATAGCACTCATACCTGTTGCTGAGGATGCCATCAACGCCCCGCAGAGCTTCGAGCGGAATATACGTTCCCAGTTGTAAGTATTTATCCATTTTGACGTCCGCGCGAAACGAAAAGTAAATTTTAATGCTGCCTCGTTCAATGCCTCTTCCCCCTCAAAGTTTGTACAGTAATGGTGTCAATAATGATTTTGCTTGTCGATTCAATCAATAACTAAAGGAAAACTTGATTAATATAGAACTCTGAATCTTCCCGTCGGCTTTTCCATCCACCACTATCCCAAACAACTTTACCCTACTCTTAAACACTTATCAGTGAATCCAGTCGGGGCGTGTCGGTGGCGAATGGGTTCTGGCTGGCGCTAGCCTACTCCATCGATCGGCGGTTTGGGGCAATCATTGAGAGGTGGGAAGGGGCTGACGCCGCGCCAATACCCACGCGCAACTGAAACGCCCGTGATTTCCATGATGATGGCTGTATACGGATCGGACTTTTTTGCGGCCTAGTTACTGAGACCCCCGCACGTGGATTTTCTGGCAATGACCCTATTCAAAAATGTTGTGTGACCCTCTATAACCATATGTCTGGCCCTCCATATCCTGAGTGAGCCCAATGACCATTCAGTCATCAGAGCCGCTGGGCCTCGATGGCATTACTTCAAACTGACCCCTTCACCAAAGACCTTGGACTCGCACACACTTATAAGGTTTATCTAATAAATGCTATAAATTTGAGAGTTTTTCCTTCCGAGCTGCCAACCCTTCCACCCCACCCTCCCCCCCCCCCCTCCCTTGTTCTAAACTGTAAGATATAGAAATTTTGAAGGCATCCAGCATAGATGATTTGCAACTAAACGCGTGCGAGCACAAGTCTACTTATCGAAAGTTCACCTTGAAAATGGAATATAACAAAATCCTGGAATTCGTCGTCCTCAACGACAGAAATTCCCTCCAAACCAGAGAATGAATCTCTACTGGTATCCAGTTCGTGGTCTGCATTCGCCTGACTATCCGAATTGAGGAACGATTCCCTGCTAGTGTTTGGCCTCACGCTACTCGAATCGTAGGACGATCCTCTGCTAGTATTTAGCTCGTCGTCAGCCATCAGCAGCCTGCCCAATGGAGAAGTTAATTACTGCTGGTGCTTAACTCCTCTTCAGCGATCTCCACGCTATTCAGATCAAAGATTGATAGACTGCTGGTACTCGAATCCTGTTCAGTGGTCATCTCCAAGCTGCTCAAATCAGAAGTGGATGAACTGCTGGAACTTAAGTCCTGTTCAACGGTCTCTCCACAGCTCAGATCAAAAATCGATGAATTGTTGATACTCAACTCCTGTCCAACGATCTCCGAGCAGCTCAAATCGGCAGATAACTCTCTGCTAGCATTTAGCGTGCCGTCACCAATCACCAACCTGCCGAGATCAGGAGTTGATGGTCTGCTGGTACTCAGCTCCTGTTCATTTATTCCCACGCTGCTCCGACCAGAGGTCGACGAATTGCTGGTACTTAGCTCTTCTTCTATGAGCTTAAGGCTACTCAGATCAGAAGTAGATGAACTGCTGGTAGTCAGCTCTTTTCGAACGAGCTTCACATTACTCGAATCAGCAGATGATTCCCTGCTAGTGTCGTCGTCACTGATTACCAGTTTGCCCAAGTCAGGAGTTGATGAACGACTAGAGCGACTAATCTCTCCGTTTCTTCCCGACTCACTCTGAACGGTACCAATCCCACTCTCGTCACGGCTGTTGGTAGTTGAGCTGCTATCCATTTCGGAACGGGAGTCTGTAACAAAACAAGGATAATTGATAAATATATCTCACGCAGGAACATCTGGCAGCACTGCAGGTCTCGCATGCATATCTGAAGCTCACCATCATCTTCATCGTCATCTGAAAGTGGCACGCTGTACGCTTCCAACATTTCTGCTTGGAGGGAAGAGGAGTCCATAAAGGCCGGCGTCGAAGGCTCTTGCAAAAAGGATGTTTTTGGTTCCTCGGATCCGTTTTCTGATACAGCAGAGACTGAATTATTTGAATAATGATCCGGATATTAGACAATGCTCAACAGACTCACACTCAATTTGAACGTGCCCAAGTTTTTCTGGGAGAACGGTCATAATTATCGGCTTACTAGTTGAAGAGACCGAAGCCTTGATACTTTGCGACAGCAGCGGCGATCGTGGCGACCGCGAGTATTCGAGCGAGCGCGCACTAAAGCTATTACTTGGACCGCTCGCTTTACTAAATAAGGAATTCCAACTTGTTGTCATTTTTTTCTAAATATTGGCCATTAACTGACGACTTTTGTGTTCAACAGGATTTGAAAATGAGAAAGGGGGTTTCACCTTTCCTTCCTAGCTCGGGATTGGAGAAACTTCATATCTTAGAGGTGCT